CATCAAACACTAGAAATCGAAGATCCGAAGTTGATATTGTGTATAAGTTGATGATGTGTGTATAAGTTGATGATGATGTGTACAAGTTGATGTTGTGTATAAGTTGATGATGATGTGTATAAGTTGATATTGTGTATAAGTTGATGATATTGTGTATAAGTTGATGATGTGTGTATAAGTTGATGATGATATGTATAAGTTGATGATGATGTGTACAAGTTGATGTTGTGTATAAGTTGATGATGATGTGTATAAGTTGATGATGATGTGTATAAGTTGATATTGTGTATAAGTTGATGATGTTGTGTATAAGTTGATGATGTGTGTATAAGTTGATGATGATATGTATAAGTTGATGATGATGTGTACAAGTTGATGTTGTGTATAAGTTGATGATGATGTGTACAAGTTGATGTTGTGTATAAGTTGATGATGATGTGTACAAGTTGATATTGTGTATAAGTTGATGATGTTGTGTATAAGTTGATGATGATGTGTATAAGTTGATGATGACGTGTACAAGTTGATGATATGTATAAGTTGATGATGTTCCGTCTTTACTCTTGCTCTGCGTTGCTGTCAGTAGTTGGTTAGCTTGGAGCCCGGCATTGCCAGGTGGTTAGGGTGTTTGACTCGATATCTGAGGGTCGCGGGTTCGAATCCCCATCCCACCAAACATGCTCGCCCCCTTTCAGCCGTGGGGGCGTTATAACGTGACGGTCGATCTTAATATTCGTTAGTGAAAGAGTAGCCCAGAAGTTGGGGGTGATGACTAGCTGCCTTCCCTCTAGTTTTTAACTGATAAATTAGGGACGGCTATCGCAGATAGCCATCGTGGAGCTTTGCGCGAAATTCAAACCAAACTAAGCCATGGTTAGCTTGAAGTCTGATGTTTCAGATGCGAACCGTAGAAGATACATAACTGTGTGTTTCTTTAATCTCATCCCCGTCCTAACATTCAAGCTCGCCCTTTCAGTCGTGGGGACGTTATAAGTAACGGTCAATCCCATTATTCGTTGATAAAAGAGTAGCCCAAGAGTTGGCGATGGCTGGTAATGACTAGCTACCTTCCCTTTCACTGCTATATTAGGGACGGCTAGCGTAGAAAGCTCTCGTGTAGTTTTGCACGAAATTCAAACCAAACAAACCAGTTCTTTGATCTAATCGCTGGTTCAAAGAAAACCGTTGTAGTTTTGGAGATGGAAATGGACGTTGTTGTCTAGCTGTACAGAAAAGTAGAAAAGAACGTGACGATTTCATGATTGAGCCAATCATAACAAAGGCCTGCGAATTTAAACTTCATAAAAGTTGTTTTGGTTTTAATAACGAATTTTCCATAATCCAGCTACCCAGATTTAGAAAATAATATTCATTTTTTTTCTATGAC